CGCTGGCTGGGGAATTCTGGGAGTTGAAGTCCGGACATCTTCAAGTTGCCAAGGTTGAGAAACACTGTGTTAGAGAACTGGCTGGGAAAATAAGCCCCCTCCCCCTTGCCTGAGGCTCCCATTTCCCTGACCTGCTTCAGAGATCCGGGGGTCCAGGCCAGCTTGTAGACCATGTAGGTGGGGATGCAGAGGAAGGAGGAGACCCCAATCAGGTGTCCCAGCCAGATGCTCCACGCAGGATACTCGTAGTCGAAGAGCACCAGCGGGGACTGGTCCAGGAGGGAGCTGATGAGAATGAACTGGGCAGGAACCAAGGAGGAGGAGGAGGAAATCAGGTCTGGCAGAACGCCCAGCCGCCCCAAGGCCCCCTCCCCATCTTCTCTGCTTTACAAGCCTCCCTTCCACCCCGAGGGGACACTTGTCCCGGATAGTAACCGAGGGGCTCCTGCAGAGAGCTAAGGAGCCTCCGTACCCCTCTCTCCTGGCTCCCAAGAGGGCTGTGACCCACTTCACCCTCGGTCAGTGGCATCAGAAAGGGTGGCGGGGGGAAAGGATCTGTTACGTACCGCCAAGGTGGCTGGGCTGACCACTCTCCAGCACACTTGCCAGTAGAGTCCTGGCCCAAAGCCCAGCATGGCCTTCACGTCGCTGCAGAACTGCTGCATTCCTAGGAAGGAAGCCCATCGCTCAAGTCGAAGTCTACCTGAGGGACCCTTGAGGAGCTGGGCCCCCTCCCTGGACGGTGCAGGGGAGGAAGACTCCGAGCAGAGAAGGGGGACGGTGGTCTCAAAAGTCAGAAGGGCAGAGGAAGGTTTGCAGAGATGATGGGGAATCGTTTTCCCCTGAAGGAGACTCGTAAAGAGACGGTCGCTCTACTAAGCTGGCCTCAGGTGGCGGCACTGAAAGTGGGTCGCAGAGGGTCTCTCCCCCACCCCCACCGAGGGCCCACAACAGAGCCTCTTCCCTCCTCACCGTAGAACCAGGAGACGGCAATGGCTTCCAGGAACACCACGGCTAAGATGGAGCAGCCAGCCCCAAACTCTTCCAGGAGTTTCACAATGTAGGGGCCTCCCTGGATTGGAACACCGGTAAAGAGCCTGCTGTGAACCTGGGAGGGGAGGGGGGGGCTCTGATAGGCTGCAAGCCCCCAGAAGGGCTGAGTTGGGAGCAGCCCTTGAAGGTGGGCAATACCACACTTGGCCTTCATGGAGCCCCTCTGCCCTTTGGGGGAGGGTTCTAGTAGGGGGAAGTCCCACAATTCGCTCACTTGGGGGCTCCTGGCTTGCTTCGCCCCCCCCATCACAGGAGCGAAATAAACTCTCTGCCTTGTGGGGCAGATATTCAACAAGGGGGCCTCCTTGCAAATCCATGCAGGAGAAGAGTTATGAGCCACCCTCTGTCCCCAACATCCCAGCGGCCTTTCTTCGGCATAAGGCCAGAGAGGTGCTGCCTGGCCCTGAGCTCAAGGGGTCAAGGAATGCCCGCAGCCGTCCCCATAACTCACATTGGTCAGCGTGGCCAGGGAGCCCAGGAAGCAGAGGCTGATGAGTCCCAGCACGAACAGCTGGCGGTGCTCGCCCAGCACTTGGGGATACTCGTCCATCAGGGCGGTGATCACAGCTTCCAGGCCCCCGAACTGCAAGGGGAGCCCAGTCTGAGTGCTGGAGACTGTTGGTGGGGGGGGGGGCTTCCCCGTCCCCTTCAGAGCAATTCTGGCCGTCGGGAAGCTTGTGGAACTGTTCGTTGCAGAGGAATGGGGGCACATTGCTTGGGAAACAATTGGGAGGTTTCCCCCCCAGTTTCTGCCTTGGAAGTATTTCCAGCTGGGGCCTCTCTTCTTTTTTAAGACAAAAGGGTGGGGGGCTTTTGCAGGAGAGCAGCTGAAAAGGGTCTCCTGTCCTCCCAGTGCAGAGCGGAAGTGGACTCACCGTGCTGTCCAGTCCCAGGGTGACCATCATGAGGAAGAAGAGGATGGCGAAGAAGGAGGATCCGGTCATGTTGGCAAGGGCTTCCGGGTAAGTGATGAAGAGGAGGCTGGGGCCTGCAAGAGACCCTCGGATGGCACCAGAAGGGACGTGCCAATGGGCCAAAGGGAGGCTCGCTCTCTGTGGCCTTCCCTGCCACCCGTCGCCCCCAAAACAACTCTTGGGCAGGGGCAGTGTGGGAATCAAACCTGCTGGCGATGCCGTGACCGAGGCCCCCAAGAGGCGATCTCTCACCTTGGTCCTTTGCCACATCCACCACGTCCATGTGCCGCATTTCGGCCATGTAGCCCAGGACGGAGAAAATGACGAACCCCGAGAGGAAGCTGGTGAAGCAGTTGACCAGGCTGGTCACGATGGCGTCTCTGGAAAGGAGCGAGGGAGCCGTGAGCCCCCCAGGCAGATGTGCCAGAGGAAGAAGAGGGTTGTGGCGGCCTCCGAGAGAAGGCAGCTGGCTGATAGCGGCGGATCCACTCGGTTGCTTCCCTGGGGATCCGCTCGCTGCCCTCTTCGGCAGCCCCCACCCGGCCCTTTGCCTCCAGCCCAGCATTGGGGGCTCCCGCCAGGCACAGGAGCAGAGCCTGGTTATCCTGACCCCCAACTTGCGTCAGCCATCCAGATGCGCAGCCACCCAACAGGGAGACGGAGAGGAAGAGGAGGAGGGGGAGCTGCTGGGCCTCAGAGCCTCACCGGTAACAGTTGTTGTTGAAAGGGTTGTAACTGGCCAAGGCAAGGAGGACCCCGAATCCCGGCCCCAGGGAGAAGAAGACCTGGGCAGCTGCGTCCACCCACACCTGAGCAGAGGGAGGGACAGGGGTGACCACTGGGGAGCCACAGGGCCACTCTTGGCGGAAGGAGGCCGGTGTTCCCTCCGGTCTAGGTTCCTGCAACGTAGGGGCTGCCCTTGGAGAGGAGAAGGGCAGCAAGGAAGCCCCTTGTAGGTTCTGCCCAATCCCCCCCCCCTTCGCCTTCATGAAAATTCATCCTTGCATCAGGAGAGATAATGATGGGCAGGAAATCCATTGTCAACTCTGCAGGGAAACAGGGCACCCAAATGCAGACAGCGTAATGACATGGGTAATTCAGCCCCTGATTTGCATTTCTAAGGGAGCCAAAGAATAGAGAGGGAAAGAACAACTCCCCCCTCCCTCCCTCCCTGCCCCCCCCAACTGGCCTTCTGATCTTCTCTGTGGGGAGGGGGGGTTACCAGATGGGGGCCTCTTTTGTCATGGATCTGCAGGAGGGGGCAGAGTGGAGAGGGGGAGTCACGGGGCAGAGCCCCAGCAAGTGGCCCTTGACACAGAGCGGCCCCAGCAAGCCCTCTCTGTGGGGAGGGAGGCACCCCTAAAACTGAAAGCTCCTGAAGGGCAGGGGATCTGGGATCAAGTGGATCCCAGCGGTATTGAAGGCAGAATGGAGGCTTGGCTTCCTTCTGAGCCCCATCGAGAAGCCAGGACTGTGTTGGAATGGGGGAAGGGCCACTGCAGGGAAACCGAAGTCGCAGGGGTCCCCCCCCCCCACTCCTCTGGGTCAGTGGTTTTTCCCCCCCACTGTCTCCTGCTGGGAGAAGCCACAGCTCTGTTTGCCCTGAAATGTGGGGTCCTTGGTGTTTCTGTCCGGCACAATGGCTGGATGGGAAACCTTTTGTGAGCCCTCCCACCCCCCACCCGCTCAGCCTCCAGATCTCGGGTTCCCTGCTACCTTCTCTGTTGAATTGCAGCCTGGCAGGAAGAAC